AGAAAGTGGTCTGTATTTCTTTAAAGGTGGCCATCCAGTATTTGTAATACCATACGTCTTTCCCCAATGATATAATTTTTAGCATAAACTGCTATATTTATTGGGGTCCATTATTGTAGTTTATTATGTTCCATTGATCTATTCCTTACTAATCATTCATAATTTCTATAATTATTATGTCTTTTTTTTCTCCAGAATTTCCCTGGAAATTTTACATGTTCAATTTTTAATATTTTCTAAAATAGGTGAAGTAGTGCCAAAATAGTTTGTTATTTTTATTGACTTTTATTACCTGTGTAGATTAAATTATGGGGGATCATTTGTGTTATAACCCAGTCTTACTTCATAGGATGAAATTGAGGGGTTATTCATTCAAAATTTTTAAATGTTTTCAGAAAAATTATATTTCTCCATAGAGAAATTTTACATTTTTTTTTAATTTGTATAAAGGCAATTTACATTTTCACTACTACTATAAACTGAATATTTTCTTTCATTGTATTTCTTTACTTAAGCTTATTGAGGTAAAACTGACAAAAAAGATTGCATATATTTAAGGTATACAAATTGATGAGTTTATATATGTATACATTGCAAAATGATTACTTTAGTCAAGTTAATTAACACACTCATCACCTCACAAAGTTACCTTTTTTTTCTGCTGAGAACATGTAATATCTACTCTAACAAATTTCAAATACATAATACACTGTTATTAACTAGAGTCACCATGCTTTACATTAGATACCCCAATACTTCCCATTGCCCATACCCTCCAGCCATTGGCAGCCACCATTCAACTCTTTATTTCTAGAAGTTGAACTTTTTTAGATTCCACATGTAAATGAAATCTTACAATACTTTTCTGTCTCTTCCTTGTTTATTTCACTTAGCATAATGACTTCCAGTTTCATCCATGTTCTCACAAATATTTAGTAATATATAATAATTAATGTTGTGATAATATGAGATACTTGCTCATATTTTATAGCTGTATTTTTACTCATTATATTTTAACTGTTGCATCTATTATAGAAAGGATATTGATTTTTTTAAATTTTTATTTATTTTACTAGATTCTTTTTTTTTTCTTTTGGTTTATCAATTGCCTCTCTTCTGCTGGGTTTTCTCATTTCATAACATAATCAGAATAATAATAAAAATAGTTTTGCCTCTACCTTTACATTTATATATGTCACTTCTTTCCCTTATCTAATGACATTGGTTAGTATCTTCAATCAAACATTAGTTTTTAAATTTACTTATTTATTATGAGAGAGAGCGAGCACAGCAGGGGAGGGACTGAGAGAGGGAGAGACAGAATCTCAAGCAGGCTCTGCACTGCTAGCAGAGTCTGATGCGGGACTCGAACTCACCAACTATGAGACCATGACCTGAGCCATGACCAAGAGTCAGATACCCAACTGACTGAGCCATCCAGGCACCCTTAATATTATTCTTTTAAATGGTAACATAGGGACAGTGGACATCTTTACATTGTAACAATTAAATATTAAACTGTAACTACATGTAAAGCACAACATCAGCTTTGGGAAGAGTCAAAAATGCTTGATGATATTTGAACTGTGTTATTAGGAAATTTACTACACAAGGGAAGAGTTACAAGATGATAGTTCTAATCTGAGATAAAAACTCTAAGGAAGAAGCAGATGAAATATGGTCAAAGTTTAGGTGAAATAAAGATATCTTTTTCCAGGTAGATTTGTTAAGCTTATATGATGAGAACCTGTTGAAACATCTTCTCATGCAAGAGATACTTCAGTTGAAAAAAAGAAAAAGAGAGACTAGTTCACTGAGTGAAGCAAGGCATGCTTAAAGTAATTGTGCATTTGGACAATTTGGACACATCAGACTTCTGAGGGTAGGAAATGGAAAGTCTAGTGAGTCAAGACCTGTATTTCTTTAAGTAGAATGAAATGGATGTTGTAGACACAAGAGACTTTGCAGTTCTAATTTCAGTTTTGTCATTGACGAGTTGATTGACCAAAGTCAAGTTATTTGACTTCCACAAGGACCCCATTTCCTACAAAATTAAAAGAACAGCACTACCCACCTTTCCTTTAGTGTTAAAAAGGAAATCACGCATGTGTCTGTTAAATACTTGAAAAATAAATCATAAAAGATGTAACCACAGCAACAGACATTCAGAGTTCCAACACATGTTGGTCTTTATCTATGGCCCACTGCCATTTAGGAAGAGAGCTTTATTTTTAAAAGCTATGATTTCTTTTAAAGGGACATATGGGAACTCAATGCATTCTTCCACAAATAAAAAGCCAAAACATCTGGTGTACCAAATGGAGAGGGAGAAGAAAATAGGCTATTTAGGGACGCCATCTTTTAACAGTGCAGGTGTATATTGATAATCATTTGGCTAGAAAAATGCTCTGCCCAGCCTGGCTCCGGATTTCTGCTTTGAAGGAATTGTAGATAATTGAGAATAGGTTTATAAAGGCTTTGCTCTCCATTCCTAATTATGACATAAACTTTCTACATACTGGGCTGTTTTACATTTATAGTCCTGCATTTGTAATCTGAGAAGTGTTAAATCTGCTTTGCTTTATAAGCACTTGATCCATTATATGTTGAAGTTTGCATTGGGGAAGTGGTGAAATGCCACATAACCCGGGTCCATAAAGAGAAGACTGAGTTCTTCCTACATAAAACAGAATAGTCAACAGGGAGCCGATCAGACTGTAGAGCCAAGGAACAAATGACAGGAAGTTGGAGCTGTGAGGTTGTGCCAGGACTACTTCCTTGCATGATTTCCGGTCAAGTACAATATTAATTAGCAATGTGAGCAAGAAAGAGATGATGTTCCATCAATCTCTCATCTATGAAGTCATCATATATCACATTACTATTCTTATCGATTTCAAATGTACCAAGGAATTTGATAAGGTGTTACTTTTGAAACTTTATTAGTTGTATTTGTATTTGTCTTAGAATTAAATGTAGGCAAATGCTTTTGTATCAATATTCAATAAAATACGTACAAAGGAATTAATGGATATTAACAAGTGTTATCCAAATGGTTAGGTGATGAAATTGTTTAGGAAATGCTAGGAAGTTCTTGACAATGGGACTCTTGTACAATGACATATTGGGGCAAAGACTCTTGAGGCTCTCTCTAGCCTCAAGAATTAACATTTCTGTGGAAACTATTTATTCAGAAACTATTGAAGTGTACTCTGTATGGAATGCCACATTAGAAACTGTAGATGGACACAAGAAGGATGAGAATATGTTACCATCCTCAAGGAGCCAGCACTCTATGGAAAAGGAAGATGACTAGAAAATAATATCTTGAAAGGAACTGACTGTGTGTGTGCATGTGTGTGTGTGTGTGTGTGTGTGAGAAAGAGAGAGAGAGAAAGACAGAGACAGAGAGTGAGAGCGCACGCGTGAGTGCATGCGGTTTTTTAAATACTGCTGTACTCCCAATAATTAGACTATTGTCTGCTACATGGTAGGCACTTGGAAAATATTTAGCAAATGAATGGATGATGGAAAGATTGTAAAGGGCCAGAAAGCTAAATGAGTGGATTTCAACTTGATTTTTCATTCTGTAGTAAAGAGGGAGTAATTTCAGCCACTTGAGGATAAAACGTGGAATGATCTCTCTTTTCCAGAAAGGATTGCACATAAGCTGCCTTAGAATCCTGGCCATGAAGCATTCAAACTAGATTAACGTGCTGCTAATAAAATGGTTCAAATAAAATTTACATATTTTATTCACTCTGCATAGTTATACTTAACATAGCCAAAATTCTCTACATAATGCTATTCATTTTTCACACAAAGTTAAGGCCTCTGGAAAATAAGTTTACTGTATTTTTCAAAGATCTCCAAGTGGCCAAGATATCTCATCTCATCTATATTTCATGACATGGATATATTTAAGGACTTTTCAGTGAAGTCAACTGGATTAAAATCCTTACTCTCTCCCACTTAGTGTATCACTTCCCTTACATTAATTTTATTCATTAAAATATCTCAATAAACCAGTCTACCAGGGAATTAAGCCTACTTGTTTTATGCCATCCTGTAAATCTACTTTCTCTTATTATATTATCAATGAAGAAGAGCTTGTTTCCCCGTTTTTATTCAACTACTTTCATGTATATATGTGTTTATATATTTTCTAGTTATTTCTTTATATCTTAGTCAGATCATGTTTGACTTTCAGTAAAGTGTTACTTCACTCCATTCATTTGTCTTTTCCTAATATATTTCTAATTTAAAAAAATTTTTAATGTTTATTTATTAGAGAGAGAGAGAGACAGAGCAAGAGCGGGGGAAGGGCAGAGAGGAAGGGGGACACAGAATCTGAAGCAGCCTCCAGGCTCCAAGCCATCAGCACCGAGCCCAGTGGACGCCGGGACCGAACTCACAATTGTGAGATAATGACCAGAGCCAAAGTCAGACAACCGACTGAGCCACCCAGGCTCCCCCATATTTCTTTTCTTTTCTTTTTTTTTTTATTTATTTCTAGGAGAGAGAGAGAGAGAGAGAGAGAGAGAGAGAGAGAGAGAGAGACAGCGTGAGCAGGGGAGACAGAGAGAGAGGGAGTCACAGACTGAAACAGGCTCCAGGCTCCGAGCTGGCAGTCAGCACAGAGCCCGACGTGGGGCTCGAACCCACGAACTGCGAGATCATGACCTAAGCGAAAGTCGGACGCTCAACCGACTAAGCCACCCAGGCGCCCCTCCCATATTTCTTTTCTAACTCTTAGGCTTGGCATACATGGTTGCATAGATCCCGAGTTCATAAAAGTACCAAAATATATGTATGCATATATCCATAACCAAGAAAATTTTAACATTCACAACCACAACAACAATGACAAACAAACATAGAAACAAAAATGAGATCCAAAGCAAGGCCAAATTAAGTAAATCATCTGTAATACACTCAGTTGTAATAGAAACACCTTAAGCCAGCCTGATTCGCTGGCACAGACTCACTCAGATAACAAATCATATTCTTAGTGAGATAACCATAAATTGAATTTGCATCTAACACACCAAGTAAATATGAAAAGACTGCCAAGTCTCCCCAGCCATCTCATATATTTATATTCTCTGTGTTTGACAATAATAAAAGAGAAAATGGGAGAGATTACAATTGTCAGGAGACACAGACCATGAAGGAAAGAGAGAGAGAAAGAGAGAGAGAGAGGGAGAGAGAAGGTATTTTTTTTGAGGCTTAAAATAAATAGTACCTATTAATTACTGAGTGCTTATTATATGCCACATATTCTCTTATTCTTTGTATTCATGATTTTATTACAGAATCTACAATACAATAATAAGGTAGATATCATCAAGCTATTTTAATATTTCCAAGAACTGGGACATTGTAAGAAACTTGTCTGAGATTATTAGACCAGTGAATGGTTGAATTGAGATTTAAATCAGGACTTTTAAGTGCTAGTGACTGTGCTGATACATAATTTTTGGCCATTCTAAAAGTAATTATTTGTCTTGGATTTTGAATCAGAAAGTTGAAGAACAATGTGTTAAAGAGGGGGGTTATAGGAACAGATACCCAGCTAGGCTTTTCTCAGTATCTATTTAAACTACAAAAATTAATTATGGCCAAATCTGTAAAGTAGGTAATGAATCATACATGATCTTAATCATTGCAATTTACTTTATTTATCTTTTCTTTCTGGTACTTCTTGTTTCTGCTTGCAGTTATGCTCACCCAAGAAGAAATGTTTTCTGCTGTTATTGTTTACTTTATAAAAAGCCACAGAAATCGTCATCCAAGTGTAAATTTATTATGAAAATGTTGTCAATAACCACCTAAGCCAGAATATCATCAGAAAATCACTGGAGGGCTTGTTGAAACATAGCTCGCTGGGCCTCTAATACTAGGGTTTCTGACTTCCTAGTTCTAGGGAGGGGCCCAACATTTGCATATCTAACAGGTTGCCGACTGATGCTGTAAGAATAGTTGTAAGTTAAGTGTAAAGTCCTTTCAGCTGCTCAGGCTCTTGCACTGTCATATTTTTGGCAAGTGGTTCTGCGCAGGATGGCTCCAACACAAATCACGTGATGTGCTGGGGGAAAGAACTAGATCCTGTCCACTTAGAGACACTACTATGTCCACTTAGAGACACAAACACTTGAGATGGACCTGAGTGGTCCAGAAAGAGGTCCACCCTCAAGGAGGGACAGTGGAGAATGCTGAAAGAGAACTCATGGCATCTCTGTAACATGGGAGTGAATCTAGGAAAGTGACCCTGAAGCTCACAGAGGCACGGTGGTCTCAGGAGCAACATGGCAACTGCTAACTGGAATTTATCCCAAACCCGCATGTGTGGTTGGTCTTTGGAGGAGAGGCAGTGCATTTGATCCTTAAAGGAACCTGAGAGTACATCTTACCACATTTTGAGGCTTGGGCAACACATCTATGGATTTCTAGTTCAGGGTGGCTTAAAGCAACAGAAATTTCTGTGAGCTCAGTTCTGCTGCTGCGTCTTGCTGTGGCTATTGGCATTCCTGGACTTGTGGCTTTATGACTCCAATCTCTGCCTCTCCAGTCACATGGCCTCCACTGCTTCCTTCTGTTAAATCTCCCTCTGCCTCACTCTCGTTAGGACATTTGCCATTGAATTTAGAGCCCATGCAGACTATCCAAGATAAATCCTCCACTCAGAATCCTTGAGTTAATTACATCCTTTGCTATATAGAGTGATATTTATTCTTTACTAGATGAAGTAGTCATATTAGTCAGGGTTCTCAAGGGAAATGGAACAAACAGGAGAATATATATATATGTATATTATAATACATAATATGTATAATACATAATACGTATGTATTATATATATCATATATATGATTAATTAAATGATTTAGTCCAAAATCTATAGGGTGAGCCAACTGGCTAGAGACTCAGAAAAGCCAGTGTTCCAATTTGAGTCCAAAGGTAGTCTGCTGTAGAACCAGGAACAATTGATCCTGCAAAAGAAGTGCAAAAGCAGTCAGCTGATGAATTCTCTCTTGCTCAGGACAGGTCAGCCATTTTATCTATTGAGGCCTTCAACTGATCATATGAGACTCACCCAGCTTAGAGGGTGCAATCTACTACTTAAAGTCCAGATTCAATGTCAATGTCATCCAAAAACACCCTCTCGGTTGACACATAAAATTAACCATTATGGCATTATTTGTAGATTGTAGGGATTAGGACATTGACATATCTTTGGGAGGAGGCCTCATTCAGTTTATTATATGCATGCTCATAAGGCAGTAAAAAAGACCTTCTTTTATAAGCTGCACATGCAGAAGATTTACTTGCTGTGCATTAGCTAAGATCATCCCAAGTGGCAAAAGTTCTTTCAGGATCTGGTGGGCCCTTTTTCTGGGGAAACTAACAGGGGTGAGGATAGTGAGAGAAATGCCAGTTTTGATGTGGCTGGTTTATAGTTTGGAATTGATACTCATCATCTGCCATCTCCATTACCCATTTCATATTCCTCTCACCTTCGCATCACACTTCTGCTGGTGTAGATGACTTCCACACAGGAAGGTTAACTGGATCCTCACCCTAGAAGAGTCTGAGCTGCTCATCACCACATTCTTAGGCTGAGGCAGCTGTACGTGCCCATTTTCTGTCAAAATTGAGCAAGGGAGTAGCAAGAGTCAAGCTAGTGGATTCTCTGGGGGCCACCAAGTTCTTCCTTCCCACCTGTGCAAAACCGCAGCTATCTCTCATATTATCATTGTCACTCAGATATTACTCATATTCCCAAGGAGTAGATCACCTCTGGTGTGGAATGGAGGCTTCTTTCTTTGACAGGTGATCTCATGGCATGGGGGTTCTGAAGTAAATGGGTTAGAGCCATAGTTTAAAGTTTATGAGGCTCCTGCTACTTTCCCTGATGAGAGAGCATTTCCTCACTGGAAACTAGGACTTCTAACCTCACAGAACCAAAAATGTCAGGGAGAAGACATATAACTTGCCAAAGAGGGTCTTTGAAAGTGAAGGTAAATTAAAGTCCTTGCTTCCCTACTTGGTTTCCAGACTTTTCTATTCTACTGAATTTGGGACACAGTAGTTTATATTGGTTATCAATTTGCCAGTTGGTACACATTTGGAGGAGAGCATCTTATCCTTTCTGGGTCTCATCTCAAAGCTGAATTCTAAGAGTACCTCTACCAGTCATTCCATCCCTTCTATCAGCCTGGAAACTTCTATATGGGGTAACAGTGGATAGAAAACCATATTCCATGATTAGGTGCTCACTGCTGTGACCCTTTCACCAGAAAGTGGGTTTTTGGTGATGCTACGCTATGTAGGACCACATGTCAGTGGACCCCATACCTTGTAAACCCTAACATAGTGTGACTGGCTGAATCCTTGCAGGCAGGAAAGGCAGATTCATATCCAGAATATGTGTCACATCCACTCAAGGTAAGTTGCTGCTCCTTCTAGAGTGGAGAAGGTCAAATTAATCAACCTACAACTAACCGGCTAATTAGTCCTTTAGAAGTGTGATACCATATAGAGGCATATGGAAGTTCAGAAGGAAAGGGAGAGGCATTTGGAAGCAGCAATAACCAGACAGGCTTTGATGAGTGGGACCCCATCCTTCTGGGTTTATGCATAGCTCCATTTCTACCATAATGGCTATTCTACTCACTTCCCAAAAGATCAACACAGCAGTGATGAATGAGTGATGTCAACTGGCTGAGCCATCTTTTTCAGGGTCACTAACCACTGATGAATGTTAACATGTGATGCAAAGTTCATCCCACTTTTAGCCTGTATCTCAAATATACATCCACATGTCTCTGGCCCAGATATCTTTCTCCCAAATCTTCCAATATTAATCTTTCTAGGGGTGCCTAGGTGGCTCAGTCGGTTAAGCCTCTGACTTCAGCTCAGATCATGAAGTCATGGCTTATGGGTTCGGGCCCCACCTCGGGCTCTGTGCTGACAGCTCAGAGCCTGGAGCCTGCTACCGATTCTGTGTCTTCCTCTCTCTCTGCTCCTCCTTTGTTCATGCTCTGTCCCTGAAAAATAAATAAATATGAAAAAATATTTAAAAATTAAATATATATATGTGTATATATTATATATATATTTATTTATTATATATATGAATATTTATCCTTCCAAGCCTCTGATCAATCAGTCAAATCACTTGCAATGCCTCAGGTGTCCATATGTACCCTTGACATATATGTAGCCATTACCTACAAGCTTTCCTTCCTGGGGACATTTCTCTCAACTGTATCCTTCATGGCCACCATTGACTGGAGCAATAATGTAGCAACCATCTATTGTCCAGTTTGTCCTCACTTACCAACTCAACCCATCCTTGTACCAAGTTTAGACTTGTTCCTCTGTTAGGGGACACTCCTGTACTACTGCCAATGTGGCCATGGATGTGACATGAGGAAGAGATGCCACTTGATCAGTGATCTAGGGGACATGGAAGCCTGGTTGTGGAGTTTAATTGTGTCTTTTCCTATCACTCATGACAATTTTTATGTATAAGTACAAAGAAATCTATATAAATAACTACTATGGATGTGTATGAAAACACACAAACGGAAACACAAATGTAGCATATTCCAGGAGGTTGAACTCACACAGTTTCCCTAAGGCATGAAAAATAGTAGTAGGTAGCTGTATAGGTGACAGATCGATAGATCGATTGATCAATAGACAGATGCAAGCCCCTAATGCATGGCATTGAAGAATGTTCACATACATACTATTAAGCAAAAATAGCAAGTTGCAAAATATTGTGTGATATGATAAATCACATTAAAATTAAACTCTGTTTCTCTTTCTGTGTGTGTGTGTGTGTGTGTGTGTGTGTGTGTGTGTGTGTGGCATAGAAACAAAGAAGCATGAGGCACCTGGATGGGTCAGTTGAGCATCCGACTTTTACTCAGGTTATGATCTCACAGCTCATGAGTTTAAGCCCCGCATCAGGCTCTGTTGCTGACAGCTCAGAGCCTGGAGCCTGCTTTGGATTCTGTGTCTCCATCTCTCTCTGCCCCTCTCCCACTCATGTGCAAGTGCCCTCTCTCTCTCTCTCTCTCTCTCTCAAAAACAAACATTAAAAAAAAATAAAAAAGGAAACAAAGAAACATACCTAACCCTCTTAAGAATAGCTATTCTGGGCAGTGAGGTTTAGGGGAGACAAGCAGAGAACTTTCCTATTTTATTCTCTACTTTTCTGAATTTCTTGCTTCTTTAAACAATGAGCAGGCACTATTTTAGCATGAAAATGCTTTTAAAAAACGGGTTTAAAACATTTGAGAAACAGATCACACACGGTTCAAAGCAAAAGAGTCAAGTTTATTTTAGATCGCTTCTGATGGACTCTACTCAAGAAGTAGCCTTTCTTTCCCACCTGGTCCCTGATGCATTGACAACATACCCCCCACCTCACTTCCTCCTCTGCAGGAGCAGTTTGTGTGCGGGGCTGTGTCTTTCCATCTGGCAGACAATCCACAGTCCAGAGTCAATGAACACGTCCATAGTTCTCCACAACGCCAGAAAGTGGCATTACTTCTTTTTAAATATTGAAATATTCAAAATCTATTATACAGAAGTGTGGGTTCTTTAAGCGTCCCTTAGTGAAATTCTGGAAGTAGATTAGAATGTGATTCGGGGTGGAATGATAGATTATTTAATATTAAAGGAGAAACACTGAGGATCTCACTATTGCTTTCATTCTGAGAAATTCGAGTTTCACAGAGTTTAATTTGCCTCCAATCACACAACTAGTTTATGGCAAAGCTAAGCATTTTAATTTTTCACACAATAATCTTCATATAGAAATCTTGGATACTTCTTATTTTCCCTCATCAGTTACATTCCCTTTAACAACCCCTGAATTGATGGCTGAATTTGAAAATGCATCTTGGCATATGAAACGTAACTCTCTATTTGGAAGGAAGTACTACTAATACTGTTTTCCCACCAACTGAGATCTGAGATGCAATATTGTATCATTTCTACTCTAGAAATGACAAGGAAATTTGTGGCTCCTCATTAAACTCCTTACGGTATTTTGTGGGAAAGGAACATGTCTTCAAAATGATATTTTATAACTTGATACGTGCTCTAGAGGAGAACTGTTTCAGATCATTAGCAGTATATTTGGAACAACATAAATACAGAGTCAGTGATCTTAAAATGGGCAAATACATAAAGGAGGAAAGGATTTGGTGGCTGGGTTCTTACTGGTTCATAATGTGACACTGGCACACCAGTGGCAGGTGCTTGGGAGTGACCTGGGGAACCTGCACTAAGGCTCAATGAGCCTTAGGACTTTGGATAACTAGGATGGGGAAACGAGGAGGAAAGGTAGAATAGGTTACTTCAGAAAGAGTAAAGAATCATGTTTGGTTTTACTGCTCAGCATTTATAAAATTTGCCTATACTCTTTTTCTTTTCAGTTCCCTTTTTGAAAGCTTTCTATCCATCGCCCCCCCTTCTCTGTAAATTCGAGTGCCCCCGTCAACCATGGATTCTTCTACCAGAGAAGGTGCACAGGTAAGGGAAGTCCCATGTCAGGGAGGGCCAAAAGGTACAATGAACTATAAATATCAAGTGAGAAAATACAGTTTAAAGATAACAAACTTATCTATAATACTTCGCACTTCAAATTATTCTTTCCTTAATTTTTATTTTTGAGAGAGAGAGAAAGAGAGAGAGAGAGGCAGCATGAGTGGGGGGGGGCAGAGAGACAGTGAGACACACAAACAGAAGGGGACACAGGATTTGAACTCTAGGACTGGAAGATCATGACCTGAGACAAAGTCAGACGCTTACCTGGCAGTGGGGGAGGGGAAGAACTGTACACAATTAAAAACTACTGAATGCATGACCTCATACACTAATTACTTTTGTCTCCTTTTAATATTGCTTTAAAATGAAATTCTGACAGTTTTTTTAATCTCTCCATGCCTCAATTTACGTATTTGATATAATTTAGTCAATTAACAAATAGATTTTGAATAATTTGCAATATGGGTGACATATGGTTGGTGGCAGAGCATAAAACAAGTAATCCAGCATTGGAATCATAGGCTTAAAATAAAATTAGATTCATTTAGCAGGTACAGTTCAACACAATGACCTTCTAAAATAAATATTTACAAGAAAGGCTCTACTTTGTAAAACATGGGTAAGTAAAAATTCAACTGAAAACGTGCAATATGCATGTTAATTAATATGCAACTTAAATAATAAACCATGCTAATTCAAGAAGGTTAAGTGAAATGTAACTGTGTGTCTGTGTCTGTTCCTGACACAAAGATGCCACTCTAGCACTTTTTGTGATATTAGTATACTTGACATATCCATTTTGGTTATTTGAAAAAATAGCTAAGTATTTATTTTAGTTATTTGAAAACATTCAATAACTCCTCTGTCTCAGAAACAAAACCGAATTCTTAAGAGGCCAATGTTGAGTTGATCGTGACTAAGAAGGGAATTTTTACAGGCATTTATACAGGCATTTGTAAACTCTATCAAATTCCTGTCCTTATGACAAGATTCAGATACCAGGACAAATGTATAAATATTTCATGCATTGGATTAAATTAAAAAAAGACTATCCATGTTTAATAACATACACTCGAGAACTTCAAATATGACTCTAAAAATTTAAGGAGGCTCTGCTCAAGTTGTCCAAAATGATGACGGCCAACCTGTCATCCATTACCTGTCTGTGGTCATATTCATAACCTAATTGGTAAGATTTAAATTTTTTTAATGTTTTATTTATTTCTGAGAGAAAGAGACAGTGTGAGCAGCGGGGGGTCAGAGAGAGAGGGAGACACAGAATCTGAAGCAGGCTACAGGCTCTGAGCTGTCAGCACAGAGCCTGATGCGGGGCTTCAAACCCACAAACCTTGGGATCATGACGTGAACCAAAGTCGAATACTTAACCGACTGAGCCACCCAGGTGCCCCAGAATTGGCAATATTTAAAATGAACATTGATTACTTGCCATTCATCTCCTAGCATGATCAATGGAAAACCAAAAGCACTTCCATGAATGTAGGCATAAACTGAAAATCACTGCAAGGCAAATTTTGGAAAATACACTTAACACACATAGATGGACTTTGAAGAAGTATAAGCCTTATGAGTGTGTGTGTGTTCAATCGTGTGTTAAGTACACAATTAATCTTAGTAGATTAAATCATTCATGTACTTAACCTTCACACTGACTTACAAATTCAGTATTATTACTATATTACAAAAAGAAGTAAATTGAAGCAAGTAAAGAATGTACAAGAAGACTTTGGGAAAATTCCCTTCGTAAAAGGTCTCTGATACCAACATCGATACTCTGGTTTCACCATGGGAAGCCAATGGGATCCTTGTACCACTATTACCTATTGTTTCTTTGTGAGATGTAAGCATTTTGTCTCTCTTAAAAAATAAGCTTCTAAGGAATTAAGCAGGATATCTTCAATTCTCCTGAGAAGTCTTTTGTTAGACCTCCTTTTTTAAGAAATGTTATTTTTTAACTGCACCTTTCCCTATATATAGGAGAAATTTGACTCTTTGTTGTTGGAATAAGTGTCCTAAAATTGGGAGCCTTTAATTTTAACCTGAAAAAGGTATCTTATTCCATTTGAGCTGTTACCACAAAATATCATAGGCTACGTAGCTTGTAAACAACAGAAAATTTGCTTCTCACAGAAATTCAAGTTCAGGGTGCAGTGTGATCAGGTGAAGGCTCTCCTTTGGGTCACAAAGTTCTTACTGTATCCTCATTTGGCAGAAGGGGCCAGAGATTATTTTGAAGTCTTTTTTTTAAATCAGGGCACTAATCCTATTCATGAGGACTCCCAAAGGCACCCTAAGCATCTCTCAAAGTCTTCATTTTCTAATACCATTGCATGGGGGCATTAAGATTTCAGGATCTGAATTTTGAGAGGACACAAACATTCAGAGTTCAGCAGGAACACTTACCTGATGATGCTGGTGGAGACTGAGATACTAGGAGCCCAGCTTCTTTTACAGTCATAGAGCATTCATACCATTCGAGTATTTCTGCATTCTGGGGCAGGAAAGCCCTCCAAGTCATCCTTCGACATTACTGGATACTGAATTTGATAAGGATGGCCATAATCTTATGGTTGGTTTCCATCTCCCCTAGGCCAGTAATTTCCATCTTCTGTTACAAAATGTCATATATGATTAGAAAGGTGAGACACCCCTAAAAAAAAGGCAAGCTGAAAGAACCAAATTACTGTGAAGTACAAACCTTCCATAAATCTGCCTCTCATGCAATGTATTTTTGTGTCATACATTTTACGACAGTGGCTTGAAGAGGGTAATGGGCAACTTTTTTGTTTGTTTAACTCTCTGTCCAAATGAATACAATTCTTTAATATTTCAGACAAGGTTCGATTCAATATGTTGCAAAGTACCAAACTCTATTACCCATAGTTTAACTCTACTATCAACACACAGAACATTTTGAGAGTGGCTTCTTGGAAATACTTTTACCCTTTCCCTAGATATGCACTCTAGATCTGAGATGTGACTTCGCAGGATGTGGGGACTCAGTATGGCAAAGCAGTGATGTGAGGTGGCATTGACATCGCAATGGTTAGTTAATTAAGAATCCATTAGTAGCAAGAGCCTTGTGATAGTTGGGCAAACTTCTTCAGATCACTGAACAAGGCTGTTACGTGATCGCACAAACCTTTCAAAACTTGGGATCCAAGAGAGAACATTTATTAATAATAGGATCACCGAAATAAATATATAAAGGTTTAACAAGGCCTTATGAACCCATAGTAGAGGACAAATTAAGGGCAATATTTAAGGGTTGGGGTTTTTTTCCACTTTTTCTTCTTCTGTGGCTGCTGTTCATTCATTCTCTCATGAATTTACTCCAATAAACTTTCTTTGGTTGTGATAGATAGAGATTTACCTTGGTAAATAGAACAGACCCCATTCCTGCATTTTTGGAGATTATGATCAGTTAGGGGTTACTGTTACTGAGGATGAGGCTCTGAGGATGAAATTTCAGGGCAGTGGGGGAGAAGGAATTCAAAGATTAACATCTTTCTTATTATTCTACAAATCACAGCATGGGACCATTCCTCTTCTCATGGGTAAGGGCTACTTTACATGAATGTTTCAAATGTTTCAGAATTTTTTTAAAAGGATGCCTTAGGAGTGAAAAATATAAAAGGAGGCTGAAATTTATTTTTTCCCCAAAATTTAAGACAGCACTCAAAGAACCACTCTAAGGAGTGTGTTAAAAGCACACAAAAAAAAACCAACTTGGATGAGCCCCCAAGTAGTAAAATCTAGATAATTTAAACTTCAACATGTTATCACAAAATTGATAAATTCAACAAAATCCATAAAATAAAATAAAATAAAATAAAACCTATTAGCCCATGTGAATAAGATGAAGTAAGTGAAGAAATAAATTGACAGAGAGATGGAAAAATTTCTTCCCTGCATAGAACACGATAAATAAATATATAACAATATGTGGTTAGAACATCATCAATAAATAATAAAACTAGGGGTGAAAATTTGATAAGCAAGACGCTTACATAGACTCATGTTATGTTCCAATAACTTTCTTATTAGTCATGAAAGGAATATTAATTTATTAATATAGAAACTTGGTAGATACATTAATTCTAAATTTTTATATCACTAACATTCAGAGGAATTGACAACATGCACCTTCTAATAAAATGAAATGAGAAGGAAACAGCATCACTTCTGTGATATTCCAATCTAAAATGAAATATTCTGAGATGAATTATAGGGATAGATCAGACAAACCCAAACGAATAAGAAACAGAAAGACAGAGACAATATTCCAGATTAAAGTGTGATTAAGGAGACACTTCTAAACTAAATGTGATGCATAATCATGGCTTTGATCCCAAACTAGTGAAAAAACAGTTTCTATAAAGGACATTATTGGTATGACTGTCAAAATTTAAATACTAACTGTAAATTAGACAAAAGTCAATCTTTGTGAAATTTCCTGATATTGACAACTGCATTATGGATATGTCAGAGAATATTTTTGTTCTTAGGAAATGCACACTGAGGTTTTACCCATAAGGAGACATGCTCTTTTCAACTTACTCTCAATTGGTTAGGAAAAATAAATATCATTTATCTACCTGTCTATCCTATCTATCTACCTGTCTATCTATCATCATCATCTTTTTATCCAGAGATATTAGAAGAGTAAGGGAGAATGATAAAGCAAATGGAGCCAAATGTAAACAAATAGTGAATAATTATAGTGAATAATAGCCAGTAGGTATCTGGAGTTCCATTACGGACTTTTGAAGATTTTCTGTAAATTTGAAATATTAAAATAGAAAGTCATGAAAACAATTACTATCTGAAAAATTTAGGTCAAGTACTTTCCAGTGAGTAACAAAGTTATTTCTTTGTTGTTGTTTTTTAAATTACTGTTCCTTGCCAGTGAGTTTGCGTTGAGAGCTTTTCATTCTTCTTCAACTCTAACATCAAATATATTTCTTACTTTTATCCATGGGCAAACATACCATTTGATCAAAAGCTTATTTTCCATATGTACCCCATTAAATGTGTGAACGGAATCCCACATTTACTGACTGTAAATATGCAGAGTTTAAATTTATTTAGACACATGTTCAACTGGACCTTTCAAAAACAAACAGATGACAAAAACCCAGACAGCATTATAAAAGTAAGTAAATATGAGAATTCTTTAAATAATAAATGCAGACCAATAAGCTTGAAAATATGAAGAAATTGATGATTTTCTAGTAAAAGACAATTTAAAATAACCACAGAAATACAGACCAGAAGAGATGGACCAGATAGGTTTTCCAGGAGAGTTGGATCGAACTTTGAAGAATGAGGTAATAGAACTTATGCACACAATTCCAGAGAGCAGGAAAAGAAATACTTGGGAAGCTCTAATGTATGAGCCAATATAACCTCAATGTCAAACTTAGTGAAGGATGGCACAAGAATGAAATCAGTTATTAATTTATTTTATAAACATAGATACATATTTAAAAATAAACACCAATATAGGTAAAATAATTATAACGTGAATCTGGGGCACTAGAAATATTCTAGCTCTTGGTCTTTTTTATTAATGTTTACTTATTGAGAGAGAGAGAGAGAGAGCATGAGCGGGGGAGGTGCAGAGAGGGAGAGGGAGACACAGAATCCCAAGCAGGTTCCAGGCTCTGAGCTATCAGCCCAGAGCCCAATGTGGGGCATGAACCCATGAATGGTGAGGTTATGACCTGAGCCAAAGTCGGATGCTTAACCAACTGAGCCACCTAGGCTCCCCTTGGGTGGTAATTACATGGGTACATGCACACCATCCAGGTGTATACTTAAGATTTGTGCTATTTACCCATCTACTTGCATGCAACATTCCAAGTCAATGAACAAAGAAATGTTAGTGTGGATGAGAGGAGCGATATAACACCTTTGCGATAGAACCACAATTAATTTTTTTCTGTGATGTTTTAATACACTTTATCTCATTTTAGAGGTTTCCTGGAATTCCAAAGGTTTTATCCCACCCCCTACTTGGTCTATAAAAGCCCATTTGATCTTTGCTCACAAACATCGCATAATCTAAATATACGTTTCTAATTGCACAGTGAGGACTGTGAATGAGAAAACAGAATCCAAAAGAAAGATGTTTCTTTAGCTCACGTAAATGGCATTTTTGATTTCTCCAAACTTTATTTCCCATGTCTAATCTTTGATAACCGGCTGTATTGGCATGGCCGACTTCCAAGTCTTCCAATGCACTTAAAAGGCTCAGAGGAGCCATCCGGTGTATATTAACCCACTGTGAAAACAAAGAACTTGAGTGCTCCCTGTCCCTTATTCTCAGCCGTTAATGGCAGTGGTTGGTATTTACTCTGGGATCGGTGTACGGCCAGCACAGAGCCCGGGAGACGGAAACTTTTCCGAAACTTTTCAACAACTTTTTTTTTTTCTTCTGGTCTTGTGCAAAGGATACTTTTGATATCAGTGACTTTCTCCTCAGTATGAATCTTATCTCCATTCCTTGTCTGATGGAGAACCATTACAAAGCAAGAAATGGTAGCTTTTCCTGATTTACACAGTAAGACTCTGGGAAGGATCTGGAAACACCAAAGAGAGAATCTTCATGGCTGGAATGCATCAAATAAAATGTAGCCAAACAAACAAAGAAGGAAACGAAGAGCTCTTTGCTTTCTAGCATTACATCTACTATGATGTATTTTCTGAAAGCCACCCAAGTATAACTATTTATTTTAACTAAAGTAATCGAGATTAATGTCAGCGGTTATGACACACAGTGTTTGCTAAAGAACACATAGAAGAATTGCTCAGGGCAAGCTTCATTAAGAAATCAGATAAAATTAGTAAAACTGATTATATTTCAAAACTCAGCAGCAGCTAAAATTGCCATTCAGGAGCTTCCAATTAACACAATTGGGCTTGTTCACAATCAGCTATTGTAATCTCATTAGCTTATTATGTTTTAATCACTGTGATAACAGCGCAGCAACATTTATTTTATTTTGCATGGGTGGAGACTGGCCACATTGGGAGTGTAACCTACAGCCTAGCACTAGACCCGCATAGGCTTTTGGAACTTGGCACGCATCCCACCCTTTCGGGAAATCACCCCGACCGAGTGTCGAAGGCATGTAGACCCCCCTACCCTAGCAGTGAGAGGGCCTTATGGAAACAGACATCTCATTTGGCATCCACTGATGGGAAGATTAATTATATGGCTGACACCGTGACTCAAATCATTTTGTAATGGCATTTAGAGAGTTGACAGAGTAGGCAAGTCAGGGAGGAAGAAAGAGCTTGAAGAGAAAAGGGGGGGAAGAAAAGAGACGGCATTCTCCGAGTACCTGCGTTTCACTACTGTGCCGCTTTGTTTTACCACCATGTTTCGTAAACCTGTTTTGAAGATGCGAGTCGTTGCAAAAACACAGAATCTTTTTGTCCTTTCAGTAGAAGTCTGCACATATCTAAAAATACTTGTGTTTCACTGATACCAAGTATTGCCTGCTGCAATGAGATTATGTTCTTTTGATGGGAACTGGGGTGTAACAGCCATCTACAGAAAGCAATAGGTTGCCCTATTTTCTGGCTGAAAATGCTGCGTGT